ACTGGAAAAGACATAGCTTTGACTATATGGACCTTTGTCAACAAAATAATGTCTCTGCTTTTTAATATGCTAAGTTGGTCATAGCTTTTCTTCCAGGGAGCAAGTGTCTTTTAATTTCATGGCTGCAGTCACCATCTGCAGTGATTTTGGAGCCCAAAAATAAACTAGAGAATCTATAAAACTAGTCATATAATGAGATGTCTGATAATGATAAGGACTATAAAGAAATACAAAACATAATAATGAACCAGAGAAAGACAGTATAATTTTTATGAAGGGCGGGCAGGGTATGCCTCTCTGAGGTAACAGTTGAGCCAAGACACAAGCTGTGTGACTACCTGGAGGAAGAGTGTTCCAGATGGGGAAAGCAAATGCAGAATCCCGAAGCAGACATATACGTAGAATGCTGAGAGGCAGAAAGCCAGCTTGGGGGCAGTGGAGTAAGAGGGAGTTAGAAAGTGAAACTGGAGACATAGCCAAGGGGTAGGGAACTTAAGGCCTTATAGGACTTAATAAGGACTTTGAGATTTTTTTCCCTTGGGATCTTTTGGACAAGGATAAATTTGCATTTTAAAGAATCAGAGAAATTGACTATAAGATTAACAAGAGTGGTAAGTAGTGAGACCTATTGTTTAGTTGCTCAACTCTTTTGCAACCCCATGGATTAGCATGCCAGGCTCCCCTGTCCCTCAAATTTCCCAGGCAAGAATACTGGAGTGGGTAGCCATTCCCTTACTTCTCCTGGGATCTTCATGATGCAGTGATCAAACACTCCTCTCCGAGACTCCTCCTTTGGAAGTTGGTTCTTTACCACTGATCCACTGGGGAAGCCCAGTGAGACCTGTTAGGATTATTTCAGTAGTATAGGTGAAATGTATACTGGCTTAGATGTAGTAACTTAATAACAGTAAATCCATATAGTCAAAACTATGGTTTTTCCAGTAGTAATGTGAGAGTTGGACCATAAAGAAGGCTGAGCACCAAAGAATTGATGCTTTTGAACTGTGATGCTGGAGAAGACTCTTGAGAGTCCCTTGGACTGCAAGGAGATGAAACCAGTCAATCCTAAGGGAAATCAGTCCTGAATATTCATTGGAAGGACTAATGCTGAAACTGAAACTCCAATACTTTGGGCACCTGATGCAAAGAGCCGACTCAGTGGAAAAGATCCTGATGCTGGGAAATCTTGAAGGCAGGAGGAGAAGGGGACAGAAGAGGATGAGATGGTTGGATGGCATCACTGATTCAATGGACATGAGCTCTAGCAAGCTCCAGGAGATGGTGAAGGACAGGGAGGCCTGGCTTGCTGCAGTCCATGGGAGTTGCAAATAGTCGGACACGACTGAGCGATTGAACAACAGCAGCGACAAGTGGTCACATTTGAGATATATTTTGGAGGGAGAGCCAATGGATTTGCTGATGGATTGGCTATAGAGTGAGGAAAGGAGAGGAGTAGAGGATGAATCTTTAGATTCTTGGCCTGAGTAACTTGGTGAATGGTGGCACCAGCTCACCGAGATGGGGAGACTAAGGCAGTGTTTGGCGGATAGGGCGCAGTGGGTTTGAGTTGTGTTTTCGATGTGTTAGGTTTGAGATGCATGTTGACAGTCAACTGGAGTTGTCCAGAAGGCAAATAGTCATTCAAGTCTAGGATTCACAGGTGAGATAGAGGCCAGAAATTGTGAATACTTCATGGAGAGTTGGTGTTTAATACCGTCATCCTGGATTTGTTTCTCCTGAGGAGTTGGGTTTACAGAGAGTAGACAGAGGTCTGAGGAGTGAGCCCTGGAGTGCTTCAATATTTCCAGTTGGGAAATGGAAGAAATCAGAAGAGGAATGGAAGAAACCAGAAGAGTGAGATCCGTAGGAATTCAGGAAAATTCGTATTCTGGAAGTCAGTTGAAAAAAGTATCTCAGGAGGAGGGCAGGATCTACTATGTCAAATGTTAAGAGTTGCGTAGAATGAGGACTCAGAATTGACCGTTGGATTTGACAATTTGAAGCTTACTGGTAACTCTGACAAGCAGTTTCACTGAAGTATGCAGACAAAACCAGATTGGAGAGTGGGCTTGAAAGGAAATGGAAGAGAAGAATTGAAGAAAGTGGGTAAAGATAACTGTTTTCAGGTTTTTTTTTTTAAATAAGGAGGAAGAAAAAAATGAAATGATACCTGAGTTGGAGTGGGAATGTGGAGTCAAGGAAAGATTTTTTTTTTTTTTAATGGTTAGAGATAATAGAGTAAGTTTGTATGATGGAATCACTGTAACAGAGGGGGGAAATTATTGCAAGAATAGGAGAACATTACCAGAGGAAAGTCCTTGATTAGGAAAGTGGGAAGGGATCCAGTGTACAAATGCAAGACTTGGTTATGAGTTCAAGTCATTCAACCATTGAAATAGTAGAAGAAAGAGAATATGGATAAAGTAGGTTAGGTTTGGTACCTTTTGTGAGAGGTTAAGGAAATTATCTTCTGGTTATTTCTGACTTTTCAGTGAACTAGGAACAAAGTCATCACCTGAGGAGAGAATGTAAAAGAGTTAGTTGACTGACATTTTAGCCCAGTCATGGTTTAGTAGCAGGATTGCAATGTGCTGCCAACCTTTCCAATGTGGAAACTGGCATCCTTCTGTTCTGAAAAATATTCTTAATTTCTTTATTTGATTGTCTTCCCCACTCTCATCTTCCTTGTTTATTTCTGTAAGTCCTTTAGTCAGGAGTTGGACGTGTGGACTGGTACTCCTATGGGAAGTCTCTTCTTTCAGCTTTATCTTCTAGTGCTTCTATAGAGTTTTTAATTTTAGCTATCTTATTTTAAAATTTTCCTTACCATCTGATTCTTTAATGGAAGCAATAGCTTCTTATTTAACTTACTAAGGTTTTTGTTTGTCTTGTGATTTGTTTTCTTCTATTCCCTGGATAATCTCTGTTTCCTCCACATTTTATTTTATCTGCTTGCTTATTTTTAGTTTCTGTCTCTTGTGATGTTTTCTTCAGATGCCCGATGATGCTTGGCTGCCCATGTGTGTTTGTGTGGGGCACTGACAAGCTCGGTGTGAGTGAACGGGCCTTGTTACTGGCGGGCTTCATAGGAAGGTGAGCTCGAGGGCAACTAGCTTTTTCATTGTCAGTGTGTAGAGGTCTTTTCTCCAAGGCTGTTGAGTTTTTCAAAGTTTGGGGATGGTAGGTATATATGCCTTTGGGAAACAGCAGGAGAAGAAGGGGAGGGCTTCCTGTCTCCATAGGTAGACCGTTCCTCAGTCCCTCTTCACTGTGAATTGTACTTCTGCCCTGCTCTGTGCCTGATAACCAAGTGCAGAACGTCTACTTCCATCTCTTCTGGAAACAACCTTGGTGGGATGCAGTGGCCATCTGGCTGCCTGGGTAGGGGTGTGGGGTGACATAGTGAGGAACTAATGTGTAAACGTTCCTCCAGTTGTAGCCTTTTATGCTACTCTGTGCTTCAAAGAACTGAGACTCTGAGATTCTTTAGGGCAAATGAATCAGCTCATTCTCATGTGGATCCCTCCACTCCAGCTTGGTCCCATTAAGTCACTTACCACTCCTCCAGTAGCTTCCTGTCGCTCAAAGTTTGGGGCTTGCTTTTTTGTTGTTTTGTTTCATTTTTCTTCTTTGGAGAACTCTGATATGCTAACGTAGTTTCCCTGTTCACTTACTGATGTATTTGTCCTGTTAACAAGGAGAGGGGAAAGGAGATAAACATATGTGCTCAGTCTACCAGGTTTTTCCAGAACCTGTCCACGCTCCCTCAAGGGTGATAATCACAATAACTACCATTTATTGAGTACTTAACTTTATGCCAGACTCTGTTCTAAGCACCTTACATTTATTAACTTTGTATTCATAACAATCTTGTGTGTGTGTGTTAGTCACTCAGTCGTATCTGCCTCTTTGCTATCCCACAGACTATAGCCCACCAGGTTCCTCTGTCTGTGGAATTCTCCAGGCAAGAATACTGGAGTGGGTTGCCATTCCCTTCTCCAGGGGATCTTCCCAACCCAGGAATTGAACCCAGGTCTCCTGCATTGCAGGCAGATGCTTTACCATCTGAGCCACTAGGTTGAATATTTATTGAGTACATAACTATATGCTCGACACTGTTCTCAGCACTTTACAGTTGCTAACCTTGTATTCATAACAATCTTGTGAGACAAGTACTATTATTATTGCCATTTTACAGATGAAGAAGGTAAGGCACAGTGAATTCAAGTAACCTGCCAGAGTTATGAAACTAGTAAACGTGGAGCTAGCATTCAAACACAGCTGTCGACTGTAGACATCTCCTGCTTAACGTTCTCCCATAGAATCCCACTCCTTCTTTTATAATCCAAGCAATAGCGTGTCATCTGTGCTCTCTGTGATCGGGTCAGGGTACCTCTCCAGTCTCATCTCTGTCTACTCCATCCTTGACCTCAAGTCTTTGACCTTGTATTCTATTCATACTGAACTTCTTTCCCTGAATCCACCATATTCTTATGATCCTCATGCCTTTTTTCATGCTGTCCCTCCATCCCAAACATTCCTTTATTCTCCAGAATGCTCAGTATAGTGATAGGGTGTTTTAAGATATACTTGGATGCATGCCCAGTCATGTCTGACTCTTTGCAACCCCATGGACTATCACCCACCAGGCTCTTCTGTTCCTGGAATTTTCCAGTCAAGACTACTGGAGTGGGTTGCCATTTCCTCCTCCAGGGAGCATATACTTATAAATTGATTATTTGTATAATTTATTTCATATAGCAATCAACTCATACTTTTGATTTAACCCTAATATCTGCTTGAAAAATGCATAATTATATAAATTAATATTCCACTGTGTATGAAGGGTTCTTATGTCTCGTCAAACACTTATCTCCTCAGATTTGATTGTATTGAGAGTGAGATTTAAAATTCTTTTGGAGTTTAAGTGAAAAAGTGTATGCTAAAAAATTCTAACCTTCTAACCTGTTTTCTAACCTTCTCTTATTGTTTTTTAACAGCTTTTTCTTCCTCTTGCAAATCTGGAATGTTCACCAAATGTTGAAACTTTCCTTTGCAAAGCTTTTGTACCAACCTGCACTGAGCAAATTCATGTGGTTCCACCCTGTCGGAAATTTTGTGAGAAAGTGTATTCTGATTGCAAGAAATTAATGGACACTTTTGATATCCGATGGCCTGAGGAACTTGAATGTGATAGGTAAATTATGTTTTCAGCTGAAAGCTACTGATGATATTTTCATGTTGGTATCAATTTTCAAGAATGTTAGTGACAAGCTTTCATTATTTGTCAACAACTATTTATTGCACACTTAATATATGTTAGGCACGTGTATATCAGCATTGTACACAGTGGTGAGCAAAACCAGACTTGGTTCTTGTTTTTAGAGAACTTACAGTGGGGTGGGAGGAATAGAGAGTAATCAAATAAGCATAAAATTAAATGCACAATTACACCTGTGTTAATACAACAAGTGAGGGTGCAAAGTTCTGTGAGAATGAATTAAGATGCCTTTGCTCTAAACTGGGGGGAAAAGGGTATTATTATCAATTCATGGGCCTTTCTGCATGTGTCTTGATTAATTACTTTTGTCTGCTAATCTCTAGACATTGAGAGCTAGTAATTTGAAATATTCTACTGACATAATGAGACTCCATGTAATAAATCTGGGAACGATGGTGACGGTTCTCTTTTTGTTTCTTTATCCATAGACTAAAGAAACTCTAGAGCCTTTGTGGAGCTCATACACTTCTGCTAGATGCATAATCACTTTCTAGAACAACTGATAATACATAGTAAAAGTGAAAGTGTTCTTACTGTACATCTTAGGAAATCCCCTTCTATGGAAACTTTTCCCCAAACAAGGGATCATATGCAAGAATACTTATTGTAGCATTACTCATAATTTTTTTTAATGAGAAAAAGTCTGGGGGCTTCCTTGGTGGTCCACTAGTTAAGAATTTGCCTTGCAGTGCAGGGAACACTGGTCCGGGAAGATACTACATGGCACAGAGCAGCTAAGTCCGTGCTCCACAATTACTGAGCCCACACCCTCGAGCCCATGAGCTGCAACTGCTGAAGCCCGTGTGCCCCGAGTCTGTGTCCGCAGCCAGAGGAGCCCCCACACCCACAAAGAGTAGCCCTCACTCAACCGAAACTAGGGGAAGCCCTCGCGAGCAAGGAAGAACCATCACAGCCAAAAAAATAAGATTTCTTTAAATGAGAAAAAGTCTGAAAGCCCATTGTAATAATAAGTAAATTGTGATGTACTTACACGCTAGAATACTGCCATACAGTTATGAGTGTGGTTGTCCTACATTTGTCAATAGAGATAAATCTAAAAATTATAAGTTAAAAAAAAGTGTGATATATATAGCACCATGTCAAAAAAGTTCAAAACCTGTAAAACAATACTGTATAACATTATAGTTGGAAAAAACATATTAAGGGGGGAGAAATAAAAACTGAACTTGTAGTAATGAATACTTTGGAAGAGAGAGAGAAAAGAGAATAGGACCAGAAAGGGGTCCCAACTGTATCTGTAATAAATAATATATCAATAATAATATAATAATATTATTATTATATTAATATTAATTATTATATTAATTAATATAATATATCAATAATAATATATCAATAAAATTGATATACTGCCTTTTGAAAAAACTAGTAGATACATCCATGTTTTTATACAGGCATACATTTTATTATTTTCTGTCCTTTCTAAGGCATATTTAAAATGCTTTCTCCTTTAAAACCTCCACTAATTTCTTTTTTTTTAATTTTTAAATTTTTTGGCCATGTGGTATGTGGGATCTTAGTTCCCCGACCAGGGATCAAACCCATGCCCCCTGTGTTGGAAGCGTGAATCTTAACCACTGGACCCACCAAGGAGGTCCTCCACTAATTTCTAAACCATGTAGCTCCTCCAAAATAATTCTGGGTGTGTAGAAACTCAGTGATAAAGTTCTGCACAAAACAGAAATATCACTTGTATCATTCTGGACTGCCCTGAACAAGAGGGGCAAACAGCCATACCGCAACAAAATGGTGGTGTGAGTTCCGCTGGTCCTCAGCCTTCTTCTTGGTGATCTTCTTGCCCTTCTTTATAAACTTAGAAATCACTTGAACTTTGTCTTCTCCACCCAGGAAATGATCTCATTTCAGTCATTTTAATTGTCATCACCTTACTATGTGGCTGATCTACTTTGCTTATGGATGTTAGAAAATAAAAATTCATTTCCCCAAGACTTATATTTCAAAATATTTCAAACAGATAAGTCAGCATCTTTTTGTCTAGAGACTACCAATCAAGATAAATTATTTCTTAAACACTTAGCCTTGAAATCAGAATTTATTTAACAGTTATTAATTGATTGTTTTCCAAGTAAGGGAGTTTTCATGTTCACTTGTCTGATACTTAATATATATGTTAAGTGTATTGGGGCCTCATTAACAACTACAAGTTTTTAGTCAATTTCAAAACTTCCTCCCCAACTGTAAACCTGTATCTGCTTAAGTTTGTATGTCTCCCCATCAGTTATGAATGCATAAGGAAGGACTTCCCTGGCAGCCCAGTGGTTTAAGAGTCCATGCTACCAATAAAGGGGGTGCAGGTTCAATCTTAGGGAACTAAGATTCCACATGCTATGTGGCTGGGCCAAAAGATTTTAAAATGATAATAATAATAATAAAAGAATTTTAAAGTGAATGCATAAGGAATATTTTATAGTTGTGAAGTATAGCATTAAAATAGTAACTCAAAAATGTTGGCTTCTTTTATTTATTTATTTATTTTTAAATCTTTACAGATTACAGTACTGTGATGAGTCTGTTCCTGCAACTTTTAACCCACACACAGAACTTCTTGGTCCTCACAAGAAATCAGAACAAATCCGAAGAGACATTGGATTTTGGTGTCCAAGGCATCTTAAGACTTCTGGGGGACAAGGCTATAAGTTTCTGGGAATTGACCAATGTGCACCTCCATGCCCCAACATGTATTTTAAAAGTGATGAGCTAGAGTTTGCAAAAAGTTTTATTGGAATAGTTTCAATATTTTGTCTCTGTGCAACCCTTTTCACATTCCTTACTTTTTTAATTGATGTCAGAAGATTCAGATACCCAGAGCGACCTATTATATATTACTCTGTCTGTTACAGCATTGTATCTCTCATGTACTTTATCGGATTCTTGCTAGGCAATAGCACGGCGTGCAATAAGGCAGATGAGAAACTGGAACTTGGCGACACAGTTGTTCTAGGCTCTCAAAATAAGGCTTGCACCATTTTGTTCATGTTTTTGTATTTTTTCACCATGGCTGGCACTGTGTGGTGGGTGATGCTTACCATTACTTGGTTCTTAGCTGCTGGCAGAAAATGGAGTTGTGAGGCCATTGAACAAAAAGGAGTGTGGTTTCATGCTGTTGCGTGGGGAATACCAGGTTTTCTCACCATTATGCTTCTTGCCATGAACAAAGTTGAAGGAGACAACATTAGTGGGGTCTGCTTCGTGGGCCTTTACGACCTGGATGCTTCTCGCTACTTCGTCCTCTTGCCACTGTGCCTTTGCGTGTTTGTCGGGCTGTCTCTTCTCTTAGCTGGCATTATTTCCTTAAATCACGTTCGACAGGTTATACAGCATGATGGCCGGAACCAAGAGAAACTGAAGAAGTTTATGATTCGAATTGGAGTCTTCAGTGGCCTGTATCTTGTGCCATTAGTAACTCTTCTGGGGTGCTACGTCTACGAGCAAGTAAACAGGATTACCTGGGAGATAACTTGGGTCTCTGACCACTGTCGTCAGTACCATATCCCATGTCCTTATCAGGTAAAGGCTATCATTTCTATTATTTCACTATTTAATTTTAACATGGCGTTCCCTGGAAATATCTTTGAATTTGTCATGCAGCTAAAATTAGATTTCAGGTGAGAAAATCCAGTAGAGGGAAATGTTCCCTAAGCATCAGTTGAAACTGGGAGGAGTTGTTTCCTCAAGTTTTAGCTTCAGTTACAAAGATAGTAAAGTGCCTCATTTAGCTGTTCTTTTAAAAATTAAGTTAGATTGCAAAAGCAGATGAATGGTAATGAAGAATAGAGTCAGAAGAACAGGCTGTTGTCATAGGGAGAAGAAAAGGAACTTTTGCTCAATTGGGAGTAGTTTTTAATTCTTTAGTTAGTTGAGAAAACCCTTATTTGGGTTTATAATAAGATGATATGTAATATATAATTTTATATTTTGCTCGTATACACTTACAGAATTTTTGCCTAAACTATCCTGTCATTTCTTATGACAAAAAGCACAATTAAAACAAAACATGATTCATGTGTTTCTGATACTTCTGATTAAAATTGTGATGTTAAGATTTAAAAGTATCTGAAAATAGAAAATCTCTTAGAACATTTTAGTTGACTTTTTAAAATAGAAGCTTTGTTTTTAATAGATTTTATAAAATTTTCTTGAATATCTATATATGGCTACTGTTGCTTGTGAGTGCTATATCATCACAGTATATCAGATCAAGCAATGTATGGACTGAATTATTTTACGTAGTAATTTATATTCTAGAAAGGTACTGCACTGTAACAGTGAAACCTGTTTTACATACTGGTGTGTGGGGATAATGGTTTTACCTGCCTTACAGCCTGTCCGGAGTCTGTTATCCACCATCTGCTTTTACTGTATTATCAGTAAGGAAGTACTCTTAAAGTGATCCTGCCGCATTTTGTCCTAGATTGCTCATATTTTTGGCAAACTTGGGGGGAAGGCAACCATTACATACTACTAAAAAGTATAAGATATATGATGTTTTAAGATTACGTCTCATGTAAAGAAAAACTGTATTAGAAGATAAAGTGAAAATTCTAATCTTATAATGGGGAAGGACTTTATGATATAAAATTCAGGAGCTATGAAAGAAAAGATTGCTAAATTTGACTAAGGGAAATTTTTTTTTCAGATTCTGCATGGCAAAAAACCCCACCATAATCAAAGTCAGGAGACCAACTGGGAAATTTTATTCACACTTAACATCATAATTAAAGGGCTAATTTCCTTGTTTATAAAGAGGTCCTATAGATCAATAAGAAAAAAATGAACAATCTGGTATATAAATGACAAAAGGATATGTCAAGAGGTCACAAAAAAGGAACATAAAACAAGCTATTCTTAACATAAGAAAAATGCAAATTAAAATTATAATAAAATCATATTTCTGCTTATGACATGACAAATGTGGTTTTATAACCACTATATTGATGAAACTGTGGCAGAATACACGTTCTAGACTTTGCTGCTCAATTAGTTCAACCTTTTGTGGAAAGAATTTTGATAATATCCATTATTTTAAATGCACGTACTCTTTGATCCTGTCCTTCTGGGACTTTATCAACAGATCTGCTCACAGATGTGAGATATTACATACATACAAAGATAGTCACTGTAACATTATTTGCAATGACAATAGGAAATAACCTGAACATCTATTAGTAGGGGTAGTTGAATAAATTATAGTTCATTCACACAATGGAGCGGCCTTTAAAAAGAATGTTCTACTTACACTGATATAGAATGGTTTCCAAGAAATACTAGTAAGTGTAAAAAGAAAGATATAATGCCGAATGTATAGCATTTTGATATTGTATAACATTTTAAAAATATTTGAAAGTTTATACTTGAAAGAAAAGTATGATTTAATTTTTACAAAATTTCCACATTTTTTTCATTTTACTGATGCTTACTTTGTTCTCACTAACCTAGTTTTTGTAACATAAACATCAATAGTGCATAAAGACTCTAAATACTATGCTGTTAAAAATGAGTTTAAATGTATTTTTTTAATAGATTGTAGTTAAGGAAAATAGATAAATATTGAGTGGCACATATTTGGGGAATTATAAGAGGCTGCTATACTTACAGAAAAAAAAAAAAGCCAGATATCAAGCCAAGATGTAAAGACATCCTTCCTAAATGTATTTAATGTGTTTTTCCCTTTCTAGTTATATATTTTGATAAAAGTTCTTTGTTCAGAACTTCTGTGAGGAATGTATTACACTTATATCACTATTCATTATGCCATATCAAACAGTTCATAAGACCAACTGATTTATACTTTTGTTCAAGTTTTGCATTAACTGTATAGATTTCTCTTTACTTTAAATTTATCACTGAAATTCTTCTTATTTTTTGCAGGTAAATACAGAAACTCGACCAGAACTGGCCTTATTTATGATAAAATATCTGATGACATTAATTGTTGGCATCTCTGCTGTCTTCTGGGTTGGAAGCAAAAAGACATGCACAGAATGGGCTGGATTTTTTAAACGAAATCGCAAGAAAGAGTAAGCATCTATTGAATTATCTGACATTGTTTTAAAATAATAGATCAAATACCAAGGAACTATTCAAATCATCACTGTACTGGAGTTTCACTATATTAACTGTGTTTTCAAACTATAGTCTTTTTTCATCGAGAGAGATGCTTTATTTTAGTATTTGTTACAGTAGTCTTTCACATATACTATTCTATTGAAATATAAATACAAAGTTTGTAAAATGTACATTTTCTTTCCATGGCTTATAATATATCCAATATTATTACTGCTATCATTGAGTTCATTGTTTTGGGTTCAGCATTGTAAATAATTTTATCCTTTTTTTATCAGTGATAAAAGATGAAATGGGTCAAATATCAATATATATTAAGCAACATAGAATATGATTCAAATGTGGTATATGATCATTACCTTTGAATTTTATTACACATAGTACTGACTTAACATGCCACTTATTTGCCCTTTTTAAGATGGTAAAAATTTCAACTTATGGAGTATTCTTTAACAACATAGTAGACTTACATTTATGAGTAAATAGTTAATTTTATTATTTACATATGTTATAGATTATGTACAATCGATGTAATATAGAGTTTTAAAACTGTTTCCAATTGGTTTGATTACTGGAATTTTTGTGGTAAAAATTTTAGAACCTTTTTACAAATTAACTTTTGAAGTCTGAAGAACTCATTTAACTGGACTTTAATTTCTTTGAACTATTACTATATCTCTATCCCTGGCGGCTCAGATGGTAAAGACTCCACCTGCAATGCGGGAGACCTGGATTGGATCCCTGGGTCAGGAAGGTCCCCTGGAGGAGGGCATGGCAACCCACTCCAGTATTCTTGCCTGGAAAATTCCATAAACAGAGGAGCCTGGCAGGCTACAGTTTATGGAGTCGGACACAACTGAGTGACTAAGCACATCCCATATTTATGTGCCCACACTTACTTCAGAATAACTTGCTATAACTTGAATATTAGAAAGAAAACAGTTGTATTTAAACAAAGACCATTAATTATATTCTATACTCTCTCTCTCTGGTTTACTTTCATATTTTATATCTTTGTTTATGATACACATACAAATAATCCCCTACTTTATGCCAGTTTGAGTTTTTTTGCCCTCATCTTTAATTTCTTTCTACTATTTATGCTGACAAAAGCCCCTGACAGTGTATGCACAAAAGATTTCACTTTGTGGCAATCTACTTATATCTCATAGTATTTATAATCTTAGATTTTTATTAATAATGTAAATCATATAGAATCTAACTTGAATGAATAAGGATTTTTGGCACAAGATGTATGATATGCTTTACGGTTTCTATTATAACACTTAGCCTTTATCCAGTAAACTCTCTTCTTGAATTTTCTTACAGTCCAATCAGTGAAAGTCGAAGAGTGTTACAGGAGTCATGTGAGTTTTTCTTAAAGCACAATTCTAAAGTTAAACACAAAAAGAAGCACTACAAGCCAAGTTCACATAAACTGAAGGTCATTTCCAAGTCCATGGGGACCAGCAGAGGAGTGACGGCCAATCATGGTACTTCTGCAGTAGCAATCACTAGCCACGATTACTTAGGACAAGAAGCTCTGACCGAAGTACAGACTTCACCAGAAACATCAGTGAGAGAGGTGGGAGCGGATGGAGCGAGCACCCCCAAGTTAAGAGACCGGGACTGTGAGGGGCCTGCCTCCCCAGCAGCACCCAGCTCCAGACTCTGCGGGGAACAGACGGACAGGAGAGGCCAAGGCCGGGCAGGCAATGTGAATGACCAGAGCAGTGTGTCTGAAAGTGCGCGGAGTGAAGGAAGGTGAGCTTGGACTTGCTTCTCTTAAATCGTATGACTATTTCAAATACTGCCTTACACATTTTTCATTAAAGCATAACATTTTCATTTCCAGCATAAAGCTGGAAAGAAAGCATTCTTTGAGATGACAGGTCTATACATTTTTAGTCCAAGTCAGTTTAGGGTTAAGAAGTCTGAATTCTGCCTATAAATGCTCTTTTATAGTTTAATTCTTAGTATTGGGAAGAACCTTTCATGTATATTGTTCAAATAGAAAAGTAATGTTTATTTCTATGGTAATTGTTAAGAGTTGCTTGTGAATTTAGGGAAATGTTTGATTCATGTACAATACAGGCTATTAAATTTCAATTAGCCCTACATTATAATACTGTCTAAAAGGTATTTGTCATTTTATATGAGTTTGATTATAAAATGTTTTTATTTTCTGAACATGAAAGGATATTGACATTACCTTTAATGAATTTTTCCAAATGATCATAAGTGATCTAAACACAGGTAAGTATTGAATTAGCCAAAATATTGACAGCTGACTACTTTAAGGTCTCAATGCTGTCTTACCTTATCCTCCCAAACTAGACCAAATGTACCTCCAACAGCTTTTGCATGCTAGATTATGTATTATTAGATAAGTGCCTTTATTGTCCCCTAGATTTGTAAACTCCTCAAAGGTGAAGCTGAGGTCACACTCATCTTTGTGCTCCCAGCCTCTTACACAGGGTCTAATCCATGTGGGAGAATCAACAAAAGGTTTGCTAAACTAAGGGCAGGAATCCTGTCTTATTGCCCATGAGATACCATGCCTAGCCCGTACAGGGGTGGTGCTTGATGAAGTTTCTGAAGTTAGCAAAAATTGTATTTGAAAATAAATTATTTGTACTTTGAGGTGTTAAGAGTATGCATAAAGAGTTAATTATTTTCTGGTAAAAGTGGTTACTGGTTAGGAGTAAAACTCATGGAAAGAGAAATAGCGGTTGTAAGGACATCCAGCATCATGTATGTGCTTTGGTGTGTATGTACATCAGCTTTTGTTGTGTGACCTAGGGTGACCCCGAAGAGTGATGTCCCCGAAGCTGGCCCAGTACAGAGCAACAGTATGCAGGTGTCCAGTTCTCCAGAGCCAAGCAGCCTCAAAGGCTCAACATCACTGCTTGTTCACTCGGCTTCAGGAGTTGGAAAAGAGCAGGGCGCCGGCGATCATTCAGATACTTGAAAACCAGGTCATCGTGTTACTGAGAAGTGGATTCCTGCTACACTGGAGGTGACAGTACACTGTCTTACAAGAATCACTGTTACAGTCTTCTTTTGCACTTAAAGCTACATCGCCTCTTGTTACACTGAAAACAATAGATTCTGAGAATATGATTCATTTCACACACAGGTTAATGGCGGCAGTATATCTCCCCAAACAGAAATGTGCAGGTTAATAATATTTTTCAAGTTGTGTGGGAGGAGAGACTGTTAGAGGAATCTTCCTTTTCTATTTATGAAGATTCTCCTGTGTCAAAAGTGTTTTAAGTTGTACTATGCTGTTTCACTTTTACAGTATAAAGTCAAGATTTTTCTTTGCTGAAGTATTTAAAACTTATCTTTATAGCATTTTTATATATTTGAAAATGAATTTTTATGTTTTGAACTTTTTTTTTAGAAATCCTCAAGTCTATTCAGATATTTTTATTATATTATTCCAATAGCTGATTTTAGCACTATTTTGGTAGCTTTTACATTGAATTTCTAAGAAAATAAGTATTCTTTTGTAGTATAAAAAACAGTTGATACACTGAAATTCATTTATAATGGAAATTCAACTTTCAAAATCTATTTACCTTATCATCTTCAATGTGTGAATTTTATAAAGTCTAGTTGTTTTAGGAATTTCACAGATCTATTATGCAATTGAAATAAGGTGCTTACTGAGTGTCCAATGTTGATAATATTATGCTGCTGACTGATCCTTCTGATTTTTTTAAATGAAATGTTCTGAAGGATTAGTAGATGAATTGTTACTCTTTTATAAATTAAGCCAAGTGCAATTGATTCCTTTTTTTTAATATATCATGACTACCAGAGATTGTGTTTGTATGACCATTTACAATTGCTTATACATTTAACTTTTGTTTTTTAACATTTAGAACACTGCAGACTTTTTGCATTTTTGCAGTATCTTTCTCAGACATAATGTAGAATTCATCTGTGCAGCTAAATAGGATTCTGCTGAATATTCAAACATGTGCTAGCAGTATTAGTGCCAAACAAATGGGAAAAAAAATATGTAGTCCTGATAAATAGAAAATGTATTTCATATACTCTGAAATATTAAAGAATTTTCTTAATTTTGTTTTCAATGAATATCTTTCCCTGAACAAAGCTTTCTTATGCTTTTGGTTTTTTCCTCTATTTAACATTCTGTTAAAGCATAAAAAGAAAATCATCATGTACTGTATGAAAAATGTAAATATTAACTTTTCCACATTTTTTAACTTTATATACAAAAATTTTGTGTGATCTTTTCAGTAATAAAATGTTCTCTGTATGTGAGATTATAGAGTAGTCTATGGTTATGCACAGTGTTCCTGGCCCAAGAAGTGGTATAGTTTTTCAGATTGGTGGCTCTATGACTAATAAGACAGAATAGGCTCTTTTTTACCTGGACAATCAAAAGACAGTCAAGACTTGTGTTATTTTTTCTTTGTCACAGTTTCTTCTCAAAGTATGATTCTTGTTCAGTCACTGAGTCACATCCCACTCTTTGCGACCCCATGGACTGCAGCATGCCAGGCTGTCTTCCACCATCTCCTGGAGTTTGCTCAAGTTCATGTCTATTGAGTTGGTAATGTATAGTATAATTATAGAACTGTTTTTGTCATAACTTTTTAAAGCCAAGTGTAGACCTGGGATATGGGATAAAGCAAAGGGAACCCAGGACCCTGTTTTCACTTCTGACAATGAGAAATAAAATAAGATCATCCTGATAACATTAGAAAAATCTAATAAGATCATGTGAAATTGCCAGGTTAAGATTTTGGGAGAAGAGAAATTCACACTGCCAAGCCCAACATTTGGAGCTTCTTTTGCATAGGAAGCATTTGACAATTCAGAAAAGCTGGCTGAGACATTGAACGGTGCTGTTATCAGTCTCAAACTCTAGAAGACGAGGACAAGGAGAAGGGAGTCAGAATTGTGGCCTCAAAGGGATGCATCCTAGGAGGAGGATGAACTATAAGGAAAGCAACTCTGCTTTGTTATCTGGGTGGACTAGAAAAGTCTCTAACCCTGGAATTAGAATAAGGTGGATAACTGTGACCATCAGGCACCAGGCAGAAGCAAATGAAAATTTTCTTTGGAGGAAGAAAATGTCATTTTACCTACTCTGTGGATACTTTTTCAAATACAATGTCCATCATATACTCAGACATACTCAGATATGCAAAAACAATACTGAACAAGAATTGGTACAAACATCAGACAAGAGAAAAATATTGAGAGATACTCCTAAATTGCCAGGCATAGGTTCATTAAACTAGTATAATTTAAAAAGAAAAGAAAAAAAGACAAAACAATAGTGAGATACCACTGCACACTTACTAGAATGGTTAAAATCCAAGAAATTGACCACATCAATTCCTGCTGAGGATGCTCTCATTTGTTGCTGATGGGATGCAAAATGGTGTAGGCACTTTAAAAACATTTGGGCAGTTTCTCACACAGCTGAATGTTGTCTTACCATATGATCCAGCAGTCACACTCCTAGGAGTTTAACTGATTTATAAAGATACACTACCCTTGACATGCAGTATAAAACCCTCCACTCCTTCAGTCTCATCAGCACAGAGTGACTTCCTCCGAAAGAATACAATATGGGTACAGGGTGGGGGAAGAATTAACTGTTAGAGTGGATAAACTTGACACTCAATACCTCCACCAGGTGAAAGTCAGTATCAGCAGTGATAAGTCACACTGAGAGCATGTACCCTTCATATGATGTGCTGAAAACGGCTCTTGACCTCTGTGATCTTCCTCCCCCAAATTTCTAACTTCCCTCTAGTCATGACTTCTCCAGTCACACAAATCTAGGCAGATGGAGTTTTTACAAAATACCCGACCAGTAGTACTCCTCAAACCTATCAAGGTCATCAAAAACAGTCTGAAAAACAGTCACGGCCAAGAAGAGCTAAGGAGACATGATGTAATATAGTATCCTAGAAAAGAAAAGCTACATTAGATAAAAACTAACAAAATCCAAATAAAGCATGGGCTTATTCACTTATAAGCTTATTCGTTCATGCTTATTCAGCATCATTCAATTCAGTGGAATATTCATTAATTATATATGCAATAAGTTCCTCCCCTCTGCTGGCTCTAGGTCAATGGCATTCCTTTTCATCAGTTGTTGGACATTGTAGATGGATACTCCAGTTTTCTTGTTTTTCCTCCCCTTTTGTTCATGTCTGAGTTTTTGTTCTCTAAGAAAACATTTCAAGCTTATCTTCTAAATTCCTGTTGAATTTTTATTTTGGCTATCATTTTTTAATTTCACAGAGCATTTTGTAGTAACTTCCTGTTTTCATGACTCTTTTTGAAATTATGTATGCCATTTTTGAAATTATGTATGCCATTTTTGAAATTATGTATGCAATCTTCCTATGTTGGAAGATACATAATTTACTTTTTAAAGGTCATAGAAAATATATTAATGTTGAATTTTTATTTTGTAACATGACTTATTAAAGTCCTTTAGGCCCTAATAATTTTGTAGTTGATTTTTCCTGGATTTTCTAGGTAAGTGAGCTTTTCATCTCAAATAATGATAATTTCATTTCTCAACTTTTAACTAACTTGATCTTGAAGCCAGTAATTATTAATAGTGAATAGTAGCAGGTATTCTTGTTTATTTTAATGAAAATGCCTATAGATAACAATGTTGGCATTTGATATAAGGTAGGTATTTTTAACAATAAAAAAATTCTGTTCCGTTTGACAATTATTTTTTAGTTGGCAGTAGAGTTGGATTTTATCAAATGCCTTTTGCTACCAGTGTCAGTCAAGGGGGCTAATTGCTGTCACAAACAATCCTCAGCATTTTAGTAGCTCATACATAGAAAATAGGTGACTAATAAGGACCTACTTACAGCACGGGGAACTTTACTCTGTACTCTGTAATGGCCTATATGGGAAAAGAATCTAAAAAGTGAGTGCTGCGTCACTTCAGTCGTGTCTGACTCTTTGCGACCCTGTGGACTGTAGCCCGCCAGACTCCTCTGTCCGTGGGGAGTGGGTATATGTATAAATGATTCCCTTGGCTGCACACCTGAAACTGACACAACACTGTCAATCAACTATACTCCAACGATTTTTCTTTTAAATTTAGCATTTTAAAATCTGTTACCATGCTTTCCTGGTGGCTCAGACGGTAAAGCGTCTGCCTGCAGTGTGGGAGACCTGGGCTGGGAAGATCCCTTGGAGAAGGAGATGGCAACCCACTCCAGTATTCTTGCCTGGAAAAATCCCATGGGTGGAGGAGCCTGGTGTCACAAAAAATTGGACAAGACTGAGCGACCTCATTACTTCATTACCGCTCACATGATAAATGCAAATGTTCTTGAGGTAGCCTGCCAAGTGAGTACTCAAGCACCCATCACTTCTGTCTGGTGACTCTGCTGTCTGTTAGGGCTTCAGATTCTCCTCCAGGATTCTCTGCACCCAGCCAGCAGGTGGAGGCAGAGAGAGAAAGAGCAACCGCCTGTACACAGAAAAATGTGGCTTGAGCAGGGAATTGGCTTGCTTCACTTTCAGCTACATTCCATCTGACAGAACTCAGGCACAGATCCAAACCTAACTCCAAAGGGGCCTGAGAATTGTGGTCTAAGTGTGCATCTGAGAGGGCGAAGAAACAGGCTCAATGAGCAACTCAACAGCAATGTTTTAGTCTACAATTGTGGTGTAGTCAGCACTTTTCCAAATATAAGGTATCCTTTCATGCTTTGAATAACTGATCATAAACACTTTCTATATCTACCTGTGTTCTAAATGATGTCTCAACCATGGGCATAAGGTTTGTAATCAGTAAGCTTGAATTTTTTTAAGTATTCATTTTTAATAACAAACTTTAAAACCATCTTCTTAATTCAAAAGAAAAAATTTTTTCATGGAACCAGCATCTTTGATGCAGAAAGGGTCTGCTATTTCAGAGTCAGTGACGTAAATTTTTTTAAGTCTTTATTGAATTTGTTACAATATTGCTTCTGTTTAATGTTTTGGTTTTTTTGGCCATGAATCATGTGGGAACTTAGCTCCCCAACCCAGGGATCAAACCTGCACCCCCTGCCTTGGAAGGCAAAGTCTTAACCATTGAACCACCAGGGCAGTCCCAGTGATGTTAATTTTTATAATAATTTACATAACCTTTTTTAACCAAGAAAGTGGACCTAAAGTACATACTATATTTACATTTACAATAACAAAGTTGGCATGAGCCATGTGCAGCTAAATTCAACTGCAGTCAAGCTGTGATAAAGCAGCATTTATCACTATGAAAATCAGCCACAGATTCTCAACAGAACTTGGTGGAATGCCATCTTTCAAAAAGACAGTACCCCGTTGGGATCCATCGTGGCTATTCATGGTACTGAAAGAATCTTCCCTAGGCTTTCCTCGAAAAATTAGACCAAAAACAGCTTGTAATTGCCACCCATCATCAAAATCACAGTTTTAGTGCCTCTTTATTTCTCAGAAGTGTACCACTGGTGGGTGTTTCCCACCAGTACTGCTGGAAAGTTTAAACATTGCCAAGGCAGTTAAACAGTGGTACTCTCAGGAAATGAAAGATGTAATTTTTTAATAACCACAGGAGCCCTGCTGTTACTTTTCTGCCTGAATATTATCATCTTTAATACCTTACTGCTGATACGTCAAAGACTTAAAAATTCCAGATGTTAAAGGTTTTAACAGTGACCAGTGGGACTTACCATGTGCAGAAGAATCACATTTTCATTAACTCACAATGGCAATGAATCAGCAAAGAGAAAAGAGAAGAAAAGATTAAAGGGCTAATATAAGGAAAGATTCCTCAAAGTCCCTTGCACAGCAAGGAGATTAAACTAGTCCATCCTAAAGGAAATTAACCCTGAAAATTCATCGGAAGAACTGATGCTGAAGCTGAAACTCCAATACTTTGGCCACCTGATGCAAAGAGCCGACTTATTGGGAAAGACCTTGATGCTGGGAAAGATTAAGGGCAGGAGGAGAAGGGGGTGACAGAGGATGCGATGGTTGGATGGCATCACTGATTCAATAGACATGAGTTTGAGTAAACTCCAGGAGACAGTGAAGGACAGGGGAGTCTGGCGTGCTGCAGTCCATGGGGTTGCAGACTCAGACCCGACTTAGAAACAGAACAACAATGAACAGCTCATACAGCTCAGCATCAGGAAAACAAACAGCCCAATCAAAAAATGGTCAGAAGACTTAGACACTTCTCCAAAGAAGACATACAGAAGAGCAGCTTTGAAACATATGCACTACCATATGTAAAATAATTAGCCAGTGTGCGTTGGCTGCATGACGCAGGGATCTGGCGCTCTGTGACATCATGGGGGTGGGGAGGTGATGGGCTAGGAGGTGGGAGGGAGGTTCAAGAGGGAGGGGACATACGTATACCTGCGGCTGATTCGTGCTGATGTATGGCAGAAACCAACACAACACTGCAAAACAATTATCCTCCAATTAAAATAAAAGAAAAGATCAAAGGGCTAATCCCAAAGTTCAGAAGACACTGGGACCCAGGGCTAAACAGTAATGCAAATGGCATAGCAAGTTTGTCATGAACATAACCCGAGGAGCAGAAACCAACCGAAGCAATATGAAAAGAAAGATGATAAAAGAGAAGGAAGGCAGAGGAACTTCCCTGGCAGCCCAGTAGTTAAGACTTCACCTTCCAATGCAGGGGGTGCAGGTTTTATCCCTGATCAGGGAACTAAGATTCCATATGACTTGGGCCAAAAAACCAAAACATAAAACAAAAACAGTACTGTGACAAATTCAATAAAGACAATAAAAACATCTTTTTAAAAAAGATACAAAAAGAAGGCAGAACTGGAGCTGGCAAACACCAGTTAGAAATGAAAATAAAAAATAATTGCTAAATGAATACATTTAGCAGCCAAATCTGAGGTTTTTATTTTCCATCCCAAGAAGAGGAAAAAAGGGAATATTAGGAAAATGTTCTAAGAATACATTTTCTAATTCTTTACCACAAAAGGAGGATGTGACAGGGGATGAAACCGAGTTATTTCCTTGGGGGCCTATTCTAGGATCGAATTAGTTTCACTGTCAGGAAATGTATGAATCTGAACATATAGAGACTTCAGACTTTATCTGGGAAAAGTCACCAACAAAATATTAGCTCCCCTGGTGGTTCCAGTCTTTCTGAACAGCCGGTCCAGTGCCCGAATGAAAACTTTCGTAAAACAGGAAGCTCCGGAGCCTGTAAACCAAGCTGACCACTGGCAAAACCCCTTGCTGGCATTTTCAGCCTCTCAGCTGCCACTTCTTTCAGTGCAGATTCCAAGTGAAAAAGAATAACATGCTGTGTTTCTAAAACTGACCTTATTGGCAGGCTGTGAGCAAATAAAAAGTACAGTAAAACAAAACAGGAGGACTGTGTTTCCTCGACTGACAGTCATCACTGCCTCTTTGTCACTGGTTCTGAGACTGCAGGTAGGGCTTTCCAGGCTGGCCTTGCAGGCGCTGAAAAGTCCAAAGGTTTTCTTTAGGAAAGCCAAGGCCAGGAGAGGTGCATACAACACATCCCAAACCGGGGAGTTACCAGTCAGGGTTCTCAGAGTCCTTAATAAAAATGGCTAAGAGGCCAGAGGAGAAGTTCAGACAAGGCTTTATCAAGACACACCCTGCAGCACCAGCAAGAGGAGAACAAGCAACAGGTGCTCCTGCTTGCTCCCTGAGTGGGGTGAGAGTGAGGGCAGCCTGGCGGGCTGGCCCGAAGGAGTGGCTTAGGTGCTCTGGGTGGTGCTGTGTGCCGAGATCAGGGTGCAGTCCTCTGCTTTTGCTCCCAACAGCTCAGAAGTAGCAGCTGAGTTTTGACAGTTTGTATTTTATTGTTATTATTTGCCCCAACTGTGCTTGCACCAGGCTTCCCTGGAGGCTCAGTGGTAAGGAATCTGCCTGCATTGCAGGAGACATGGGTTCAATCCCTGGGTCGGGAAGATCCCCTGGAGAAGGAAATGGCAACCCGCTCTGGTTATTCTTGCCTGGAAAATCCCACGGACAGAGGAGCCTACAGGAGCCTGGGAGTGACAGTCTATCTGGGTCCCAAGGAGCTGGACACGACTTAGCAACTGACCACCACGCACATGCACGTGGTCACTTGTAGTCCATTATAGCTTCTTCACGGGGCTTCCCAGGTGGCTCCGTGGATAAAGAACCTGCCTGCCATGTAGGAGTTGCAGGAGATATTGGTTCGATTCCTGGGTGGGGAAAATCCCCTGGAGGAGGGCACGGCAACCCACTCCAGTATTCTTGCCTGAAGAATCACAAGGACAGAGGAGCCTGGCGGGCTACAGCTCATGCGGGTACAAAGAGTTGGAGATAACTGAAGTGACTGTGCACACAGGCATAGCTTCTTTGTAATCTATTGCTCAAGGGGACATTCCTTCCGGTGCAAATATTGCAGAAAAGGTCTCGGGTTTCAGCCTGTCTCAGGGGGAGGGTACCTTGGGAACTGTGGAGG